GATTGACACAGAAGAAGTTCCTTGTGACATAGTGACTAATTCCTTGTGTAGATAAAAGGCCCTAGATGCATTTACTTTATCAAATCTTTCACGTAGATCTTCCCACACTGAATGAGCATCAGATCCATAGATTACAGTACTAATCAGACTTTTAGACACTGTATTCATAATCCATCCAAGAACAATTGCATTGCATCTATCCCATACATCATGTAAGCATTCAGAATACATTTCCTTTTTACATGTTCCAAGTAGAAATCCTAACTTGTTTTTTCCAAGTAACACAAGTTTTAAAGATTTACTCCACAAAGAATAGTTTTCAGAACCCACTAATTGAATTGAAATTAGAACAGAACCTTGAGTATCTGAAGGATGTATAAAGAGAGGGTGATTGTGATCGATTTTGGCTGTGTTCGTAACTGTTTGTTGTTGAACTTCACTCGAAGCTCCATCTCCAGTTAGGCATGATTGATCGAGTTTAACAGCTCCCAATTTCTTGATTTAGACAGACAATTGATCTTCAATTCAAGATTCTTTAGACTCTTGTCTTCAGATTATGAAGAGCTTAACAGAGAGTTTCAAATTCTCCTGTGCTTTGATACCATGTGAAGAAAAGCTCTATCAATGAGCTTTAAGAAGATGAAGAAGACGAGAGAAGAGATGAGAGAATGAAGAAGACGAGAGAAGAGATGAGAGAATGATGAAGAAGAAGCTTTGTATATTTCTGTGTGTATATGTACATATGAGCCCTCTTACTTATATATACAATTACATTTATGTATTAAAAAAAACTACCTTAACTAACCTGTATTTAACCAACTAATTAATTACCTAACTAACTAACTAACAAACTGAACTATTAAAAGAATACATGTTTAGTTTATAAGCTATCTTAACATTAAGGAAGACAACAACGACTGAATAAGGGTGAAAAATCAAATACGTTTTCGAATTTCCTTTAAGCGAGAAAGTCCAAATAACTACGTAATATTGATTAATATTATTTTGACACATAGATCAATTAAAAATCTTGCTTACTAAATAATTAAAAAATCTTGATGAATCATATAATGACAATACTATGAACAACATGAAAGAGGCTTTATCCATCTTATGAGAAAGTTGTGACGTTTTTTGGAACATAAAGGCAAAATAGCAATAATCACAAAAATCTTTTATTGTCCTTTCATATCTTACACACAATTTTCTACCCCCACCCCACCCTACCCCCATGTGTAATATTATTTTTTCCAAGATCTTCCAAATCATGTACTGCCACTATATCAAAAAATATTTTTTTTTTCAATTTTGCATGCAAATATTATTATTATTATCATCTCCCCTTCTATATATACCCTCATATGAATCACTTTTCTCTCCACCAAAAATCACCTACTTCTAATCATTTTCTTTTTTCTTCCTTCTTATGGCTAAGTTTTTTATATCCTATGGTTATAATCTTATTATTTTCTTTATTATTAGTCATTTAATGTCCATTTTAGGAAATTTAAATCCATGGAATCCTTCAATTCCTTTTGAAATTCTTTCACTTAATATTTCATCAAAACTTAGTATAAATTCTCATGCTATTAAAGAATCTTCCAAAGATTTTGGAAAGATCATTCAAGAAATATTACCAGCTGCTCTTCTTTATCCTTCTTGTGTTAATGACATAATTGACCTCATTCAATTTTCTTATGGCCTTTCTATCCCTTTTCATATTGCAGCCAAAGGTCATGGACATTCCATTAGGGGACAAGCCATGGCAAAAAATGGGGTAATTGTGGAAATGAATACTTTAAATAATAATAATAATAATAATAATAATAATAATAATAATAATAATAATGAAAATTATGGTGTTAGGGTTTCTTGGGATTCGAATTTAGGGTTTTACGCGGATGTTGGAGGTGAACAATTATGGATTGATGTTCTTACTTGCACCCTGGAATATGGCTTAGCACCTATTTCATGGACAGATTATTTGTACCTTACCGTTGGTGGTACTCTCTCTAATGCTGGAATTAGTGGTCAAAATTTCCGACATGGTCCTCAAATAAGTAATGTTCATGAGATGGATGTTATTACAGGTAAAATTTTGCGTAGCACGAATACGTTATATTTTTCCCTCTATAGTAATTAATATATACAACTACTTACAACTTAGTGATATTAGTGATATTAGTGAAAATTTTGATTCTTACTCACTCTTCCAATATAATATAATAGACAATTATATTGATACGCCATATATTCATAAAGGTCACTTGGAGATAAAAAGGTCTTCCTATTATTATTATTATTATTATTATTATTATTATTATTATTATTATTATTTTATTGGGTATTTTCATGTAAAGTGTTTAAGTACAAAATGAAAAAGATGGGGAGATGGTCACTATCAATATTTAGTTTAGGTAAGAAATATATCATGTTTGGGGCCTAACTAATATAAGATTCTCTTAGAAAAAAAAATTATACTTTTTTTCTTTTAATACGTAAAAAGTATGTGTCTAGTATCTACTTCATAGGTTGTAATTGTCTCTTTTTCCACCTGTAAGATCTTGTAGGTAAGATTTTTCACCTTATACTAAAATAAATATACCACAAAAATCTAAACTTCTTTTTTTTTAATCATAGAAAAATTTATCTAAAACTTAATTAATTGCAAGTTGCTTTATATATATATTTGGTAATTTACTATTGCATGCATGACCAAACACATACTTTATATATTAATTTCCTTAAATCACATAATTAATTTGGGGAATAATAATAATAATAATAATTATATATTTTTAGGTGATGCATGCTAATATATGATAATACAATTAATTTATGGTTTTTTAAATTTAATTATTATTATTTTAGTAGTTGTTGACTCATGTTTGGTTGCAGGTAAAGGGGAACTAGTGACTTGCTCCAAAGATATGAATTCAGAATTGTTTTTTGGAGTTTTAGGAGGTTTGGGACAGTTTGGAATAATAACCAGAGCAAGAATTGTCTTGGATAAAGCCCCAACAAGAGTAAGTATGATTGTATTTGACCGAACACGAAATAAGGAGGAGAAAAAAAGACTTTTAGAATTGGTGAATCCTAGTCATCATCATTATATATAGTGTTTACTTGTATGTTTTTTTAGATACGACTTACATATATATATATATATATATATATATATATATATATATATATA